TGTTTTGTTGTCAAAGCAAATTTCTATTCTCATAATGTTAATGACTTGATGTCTTAGCCTTGAACGGTGGGTTAAGATATCAAAATTTATCAAACAACAACAACAGTTGTATATCACACGAGCACACTTTGCTCGTCATATGAAACTGCAGATAAGCCATGCATTTAGTATGTGCAATTCTTTAATATAGAACATTATGAGAAATTAAATTTGCTTGTGCAAGGTCAGTATTGTACTTATTAAATAATAATTATGTTTGTAAAGCAAGCTGGTATATGGACTTAGTTCAAGGTTAAAAGGAAATAAGTTTATAAGCATATACCAGGTTGCTAAGGAAATTACGCAAGTAATATTCTTTTTTGTCAATGCATACAATTTCCATGAGAACTGTGACCGTTCCCACAACTATGCTGAGCGATACCTAATCGCTACTTTAATGCAGCTTAAGATATAGCGCATTATCGTGGGAATTGTATGCATTAACACCTTGCCAAATGTGTATAAAAACTCAACATTTTTCTAATAAATTTATCATTCAATACAGAACAGCCCTTGCGTTTTAATTAGTTCAAGTGCTTATTAAAACTCAATTGCAAATAGGTTCAAGTGCCTAGTTGCTCAAAAAATATTGTTATTGTTTGAATCCACCTGAAGTTGGTTTAAGTGCCAAATTCAGACCTTGCAATAGGAACTGGTTCAAGTGCCAGATTCTTAACCATAAGCAACACTGAATCGATTCAAGTGTCGATTCGGTTTCAATAAGAAACGACTTATTGAACATTTTTGGTGACCCCGACGTGATCCACCGTGAATATCACGTTATCATCAATCCAGTGAACCTGCTCAGAAGGACCACGTTATCATCAATCCAGTGAACCTGCTCAGAAGGGTATTATTGCTGTATTTACAACCATAGAAGTCATGGCAGAATTGATTGCCAAACAATCAGAATTGGGAAAACAAATCCAACAACTGATCACTAACTTCAAAAAGGAATCAAAAGAGAGGAAGACATCCCCTCGCTACTATGAAGAGCGTATTAGGCGACTCAACGAATTATGGGAACAATTTGATCATAACGACACACAAATCAGGAATTTGCCAGTTTTGGATACGAGCGTTTCATATTTTACCAACAACTACTTTCAGGAAATCAAGGGATTATTTGAAAAATATGAGCAGATTTTCGAAAATGAATTGTCAACCAAAATACCCCCAACACCTTCCTCAAAGGAGTCAGCAACGACAGCACGTCAACCGATGCCGTCACCGAGGGAAGGACAATATAGCACGAGTATAACACGAATGATACACAAGCAAGGTGCAATTTGTGTATCACTGAAGCGACTCATAGCAGGCATCAATCGTCAAACAGGCGTTCAGATGAAATCCTTTTATGAAGTGAATATGGGAAGAATTGAGAAGCTATGGAATGAGATTGAATCCATTAATTTTGAAATTTGGGAGTACACCAACAATCCGACTACAGTGGGATATAAACTCGATGAGTATCTCGAAATAGAAGAATTGGTTCAGTCAACTTTAATTTCGTTAGCTTCAATGAAAGCAAATAATGAACAATTACAACAAGGAATCAGTAAACCAGACAGCGCTGGGATATCACTGCCTAAGGTAACAATACCAAAATTCGATGGCGATTATTTGAAGTGGTGTCAATTCTATGATTTGTTCACCGAAATGATTCACAAGCAGCAGCCTTCTAACGCTCAGAAAATGTGGTACCTCAAAGGTAGTTTAACAGGAGAAGCAGAAGGTTTAGTCCGACACCTGTCAATAACCAACGAGAATTATCAAACGGCATGGAATCTGCTACAAGAACGATATCACAACAAAAGAATTATTGTAGCAACAATCATTCAAAGAATTCTAAATCAACCAATAATATCAACCAATCCTTCAGCGACAGAAATAAGGACACTCCATGATGTTACTTTTGAAGGATTGCTGGCACTGAAGAATGTGGGACTCGAAACTGATTCATGGTCGCCGCTACTGCTTCATAGTTTGCTCCTCAAACTAGATAAGCAGACTCGCATTTTGTATGAACAGTCGCTGACTCATCCAAGAGAGATTCAGTCGATTAAGGAGTTCATGATTTTTCTGGAATCACGATTCCAGTCCTTAGAGGCGATTGGTCATAGGGAGAAGCCATGCTCAGCAAAAACCCTTGCCACAACTATGGGATAGGCAAATATATCAACCTGTAAGATCTGTAATAATGGATCACATCCGATATATTATTGCAAAACATTCTTGCAATCAACACCACAAGGTCGTATCAAGACAGTACAAAAACTTAGACTGTGCTTGAACTGCTTACGTACAGGCCATAGGGCAGCAGAATGCAAAAGTTCCCGGTGCAACAAGTGCAGCAAGAACCACAATTCGTTGTTGCACTTATCAGAGTCTTCTAAGACAACACACAAATCAATCAATGTCAAATCAGATTCATTGGTTGAGAAACCTGGTCATCAACCTTCTACTGTAATCACAGCATTAACACAAAATAAGGGATACGTTCTTCTTAGTACAGTTAATATGAAAATAGCTACGTTTGATGGTGATTTCATCGAGTGTAGAGCAATACTCGATTCTGGATCACAAATAAACTTAATCACAGAAAAACTGGCAAGAAAATTAAAATTGCAGTTACACTCATCACCGTTATGGATAGAAGGAATTGGTAGAAGCAAAAGGGACACAAAATACAGTGTGACAACAAAAATTCAGTCTCGAATTAATGATTTCAATGTAAATATCAACGCATTCGTGATGCTTCGAATTATCTCAGCCCAACCAACACAGTGTCTGGACACTTCTGGTTGGTCAATTCCTCAAAATATAAAATTGGCTGATCCAGACTTCGCGAATCCAAATCAAATTGACTTATTAATTGGAGCAGAATTCTATCACAGCTTTTTATCGATTGGTCAAATTAAAATAGATGAGGGTCTACCTGCACTTCAGAACACGGTTTTCGGATGGATATGCAGTGGCAAAGTTAGCAACGGTAATCAAAAATTACTTACCTGTGGCATGTGCAGCGAAGCTGACGACGAAGCATTGGATAATATACTTACTAAATTCTGGCAATTGGAGGAAATCAATCAAACGGATGACAAATTCACTGATGCAGAAAAGAAATGTGAAGAATCTTTTGCTCAAAATACTCACCACAATCATGAAGGGCGATTTGTCGTGAAACTACCATTTAAGGAGGATACAACTGTTCTTGGTGAATCCATGCAGATGTCGATGAATCGGTTTTTTAGTCTTGAACGTCGGCTTTTGAAGAATTCTGAACTAAAGAAGATGTACGTTGACTTCATGGCGAGAGTACGAACATCTCGGCCACATGGAAAAAATCAATCAGGATGATATAATCCATCCACATTACATTTTGCCACATCATTGTGTAATCAAGGCAGATAGTACTACAACAAAGCTTCGAGTGGTGTTTGATGCATCTGCAAGAACATCAACCGGAGTCTCACTCAATGATATCATGCATAATGGTCCAGTCATGCAGAACGAACTCTTATCCATTTTACTGCGTTTCAGGAAACCACGCTTCGTTTTTACAACAGATATTGAAAAGATGTATCGGCAGATACTAATTGATCCAAGAGATGAATATCTTCAAATCATTATCTGACGAGAGTCACCAGAAGAAAACTTGTGCTATTACAAATTAAAAACGGTAACGTATGGCACAAGAGCAGCGCCGTATCTGGCAACTAAGTGTCTACAAACCCTGGCCAGAGAGCATGCCGTTAAATTTCCGCTTGGTTCCGCTACACTCAGCAAGGATTTTTATGTCGATGACGGTTTAAGTGGCTCAGACAGTCTCATGGAGGCAATTGCAACAAAGGATCAACTTATTAAAATATTGGCGACAGCTGGTTTCAAACCTCGCAAGTGGTGCGCAAATAATTCCCAATTACTTCAAGGACTCGCTCCAGAAGATCAAGAAGTGGATCTCGATGTCAGCAGTGAGTCACATAAGACAGTAAAAACTCTAGGCCTTATCTGGCTACCAAAATCTGATCAATTTTCAATAAAAACTAACGGACCTACACACAGCAAAATAACAAAGAGGACCGTAAGTTCCGAGTTGGCGCACATTTTTGATCCACTTGGATTAATGGCTCCCGTAGTAGTGAAGGCGAAAATATCTGTTCAAAGATTGTGGCAGTTAAAACTTTCGTGGGATGAAGCTCTGCCTGCTGAAATGCATACTCAATGGACCCATTTTCGTCAGTGCTTATGTGAAATAAACAATGTGAAGATTCCACGACATATATTTCATCATAAACAACCAAGGAATACTCAGATTCATGTATTTACTGATGCCATTTACATCAGAGCCGAAATGACTGATCGAACTATTTCAGTTCAGTTACTTTGTTCAAAATCACGCGTCGCTCCATTAAAAACGCAGACAATACCAAGACTTGAGTTATGTGCGGCTTTACTAGGAGCACAATTGGTAGTAAAGGTAAAAAAGGATTTGGAATATGAACATCATCCGATATATATGTGGACTGTTTCTGAGATAACATTGCATTGGATCAATTCAGAACCATCAACATTCCAAACTTTCGTTGCTCATCGTATCAGTAAGATTCAGCAATTAACACTAAAGGAACAGTGGAGGCATGTCAATACTAAACAAAACCCAGCTGATTTATTATCCAGAGGTGTAGATCCAATTTACATTCAGAAGAATGCAATGTGGTTTTATGGGCCACTTTTCCTTCATGGAAATCAAGAATGCTGGCCCCAACCATTCCGTCAGGAATTGATAACATCCGACCATATACAAGCGTAAGCCAAAAGGAAGGTACATGTGCTTACAATTTCACATGATGATGAACTAATCAAAATGATTTCTACGATAAGGCATGGAAACTCATTCATAAGGTTGCAACGAATTCTTGGCTATGTGTTGAGATTCATCAAAGGGTTACGTAATAAGAGCAAGCACAACGACATCAATTTGACACCATTAGAACTGGATGAGTCATTACTCATAATAATAAAAGCCATACAGCTTAGTGATTTCAATGAAGAACGACATCAACTCTTAAAGAA